TGTTTGTCATTTCTATAAGTACCACTCAATCATAAGTTATCGTAAGGATAATTAAACAACATTAGTTGCAAATATGTGCGTAGATTTATTGATGATTATAAATACTAATACAATTCATTGATTGTGCCATGCTCCACCCAGGTGCTCAAGGTATTTTGAATCCTTATTAATTTATTTGCAACTTGCATCTTTGCACAGCTTAGAATTTACCGCATGTCTTTGCATGAAAGAACCTTACTCGCCCTTTTTTACCTAGCACTGGAATGCCATAGTTGATTAGACCCAAAGCACTATTTGATATAATATGAAATATATTCTACCATCATGTCATTTAATAACTAATCCATTTGTTGGCCAGAACTATATTTTTTTACTAATATTATGAAATTAAAATATAAGCTTCGAAATTCTCTTTACTATCAACAAGAATAAACACTGTCTTTTATAATTTTAAAATAAGTTACATATGATAGATAAATGCATACGATTTTAGCTAATTTAAAAATGTTGGTCAGCGAATGGGTTAAAATCTATTTAATTAATTTTTATAAAGTATTAAAGAGAATCATTTACAGGTAATTTACTTCTTATTATAATAGTTATTCTATACTGTACTATAGTTATAGCCATATTTTTAGTTTAATATTTACTCATCTACTTATACTTTGTTAAAAAAATTATTATTTTTTTTTATTTAATAAAGTAATTTAAAATGAAATAGGATTCCTATAATTATCTTGATATCTAGTTGCCTCAGATGAAATATATGTATGGACCAATTCTCCGTAACAATTAATGATTAAACTAAAAGACCAAAACATCCAAAGTTAAAGTCTGAATTTTATTTATATTGAATAATATGAAAGTTTATTTATTTTTATTTTTCTCTATACCTGTTCAAAATATACAAAGCTAGACAATAAAATACACGATTTCTTTGAAATATTCATTCCATCTAGTTGAATAACATGGAGTATCAATTTATATATATATATGTATATATATATATATATATATATATATATATATATATAATATTCTGCTGTATTTTCAAGCAATAATTTAACTATATAATATTTTTTTAAAATAAAATTATTGGTGATTATTGGGCTATAATTTTATTATAAATAAATACATATATATTGGCACCGATGGCAAAGACTCCTCTGAGTGATGAATAATTTACTGAAATGAAATCAGTTGATATCAATACTTCTTGAAGTTGTTAAACGTTGTTCATATTCTTCTTATAATGCTTCTTCCTCTTGTTGTAGCCCTTATTGGTCTAGAGGGGCCTCAATCCAGAGGAGCCTGTCGACCCAGTCCGAATCCATCCTATTCATTTCATCCAGTTTTCATTTTGCTTGATCCTATGCTTTGTAAGTATTCGTCATAGAGGATTATATGGTGACCTCAGAGCCTCGTGCTCTCCATAACCTTTCTGGTTAAACTTTCTTCATCCATACAGCATATGTGTCTGAACCACTTAAGCTGTTGCTTTTAAAAGGAGATCGTTAATTCCGTCACTTGCAGCTGATCCGTTATACTCTTATTGCCTTGTTTTAACAACTACTTTGCCCAGGTGTTTTGATTCGCATCTCAGGTTTAAACCTCAATGTTTTAAAATCTGTCTAAATATTGAAAACTGGTAATGAGTTTCTGTTGAACACTGAAGAGCTTAAATTTTCCATTATATGATGTTTGCATTGTCATTCTACAGACAGATCATTACATAGTAATCATGTAAATATGGAGAATTGGGCCATACTTACACTTTAAAATTAAAGTGTTGCTTCAATTGTTAATTTTTTATGCATTTATTTCTTTATGAATGTAATTTGTTCATACAATGTTTTGTTTATTTCACCTTAAAAACTGACATTTCAGAGACCACTTCTAAATAATTATCCAAAAGAATTAAGAAATTGTTATTGCAATGTATTTTTCTGAAAACGTATAAGTAATTGGGTACTTATGTAATCAATATAAGATCTATATAAAAAAAGGCTTCTTGAGAACTAGTTTGTATGTTAATAAAAAATTGATAATCTTAGTAATTAGAAAGACATTAGTTTTCCAAATTATTTGTTAAATCAGTTGAATGTAGATTAGAAACCTTATAATAAGTTCTCCATAGATAGTAAAAACTTAAATGTTTAGCCAAAAAAAAAATAATCAAATATAGTTAGTTAGAAATGAAACAGTATGGTCAAGCTAAATTTATTAATTTATAGTCAATATTTTTTTTCCAAGTAAATGACCGATTTTTTTTCACACGAATTTAAGTTGAAGAGTTCAAATCCCGATGCCCATGGAGGCTTTTAACTCTGCCATTAATTCCCCATCCTCTTTCCTGACCCGGAAAAAAAAAACCTGTATAAGCAAAAAGGGGAGGAAAGGAAAGAAAAAAAGAAGTCACAAGATTGTTGGTTTTTAAAAGTAATTTTAATCCAACAGTAACTTTAATTTTGAACTTTTTAGTTTATTTTTTTTTATTTGTACCTTTTACTAACTAAGAAGTTTAGTTATTTCATCGTTAATGAGTTAGGATGCCAAAGTGACAGATCAGAAACTTAATCATTGAACTTGGTGTGTTAATGAGTAAAAAACGTGAAAATATCCCAGGAGACAAGCACTGTTTCATTCTTGTGCATTCGATTATCTTATTTCTTTCTGTTGGTATTGCATTTACTAACTGAAAAAGTTAAAATTATCAAAGGCTTACCTTATATAAAGCAGAGCGTAACAGCATTTTGTTCTCCTGAAAACTGATGATTCGTAAGATTATCGTGAGCCCAACCATATATAACAATTATATATGAGGCAAAAATCTCAACCCCACTCTCTTCCAGACCAATGAGCCTAGCAGAGAGCTTGTTCATTTTTGTATTTAAGTCAAGAGATACCATTGAGTTGTTTGTATTCTTTACCTGTCTTTTAACAGTTTCTTACACATTTTTAAATTTGGTTTGACCATTGACAGTAATAATTAGGTTCATATAAAGGCAAATTAACAAAAACAAAATCATTTGCTTTTGATAGTTCAATTATATATTTTTATTTATGCATGATAATATAATTTAGATGTAATCACAATAATAAATTTTACAATCCTCATATAAGAGACCCACATTGCTAATATCAGTTTTGAGCCTTTGGGTTCTTTAAGTAAGCTGTGTTGTTTATTTATTATTTATAGTCCTTAAATTAATCACGTAAGTAAGAATACTTTCCTATATTATTAAATATTCAATGGCATGGATATTAAATTTGGGTCTTATGGAGAATACGGACACCAGAGATTAACCTGGTTCAAGTGTGCTTAAACTGTTCAATTTTAACAATAATAAAATATATATATATATATATATATATATATATATATATATATATATATATATATGAGAAGGAGTTAGTCGAGGGTGCGGTCAAATAAATAAAAAAATTAAAATATATAAATTATTTTAATTTTTGCCGACGTTTCGACCCACTTTGCAGGTCGTCTTCAGGGCTACAAAAGATACAAACATGTTGAAAAAATAAAAATAAAATAAAAAATAAATATAAGTATATATAAAATACGAAGAAGTTGTCAGATACAGAAATAAAAGATAAAGAAAATAAATACATGATAAGAAAATAGATAAAAGAAAATAAATACATGAATGTTAACGAATAAATGAATGTTAACGAATAAATAGATTTAATCTATCAATATGTTTGTATCTTTTGTAGCCCTGAAGACGACCTGCAAAGTGGGTCGAAACGTCGGCAAAAATTAAAATAATTTATATATTTTAATTTTTTTATTTATTTGACCGCACCCTCGACTAACTCCTTCTCATATTATATCAACGGTCAACCATCTCTACATCAATATATATATATATTTACATTTGAAGCATGAAATGTATTATTCTTTCCAAAACCTCTCAAAAAGATTTTCGTAATTATATTCCTGCCACCACATAAATAGGATTCAAGATGACTCCTACTGGTCCCACATTATATTTTGTTATGTCTTTTAGCAAGATCCCACATACCTTCTATAATATTCGTGTGAGCTCCTGTTTCTGGATGAGAGTTTCAAGCCTAAAACACTCTTTAATCATGCTAATTAATATTTCTCTAGTTCTTTTAGAGACTACATAAAGAAAGCACTCCTTAGTTCCTTGTTGGGGGTACGTTTTCCCAACATTATATTTGCGTCTAGAAAAGAGACTCTCATCTATTTCTATGTAAGACCATCACCAACCAGGTTAATCACTGGTGCCCATATTCTGCATAAGACCCTTAAATTTAATCATAACTAATGTTTTTCTGCTATTTTTTTTATTTTTTTTTTATGTATATACTTTTTCTTTATTATAAGTGCACAAAAAGCTTAATCACATTTAAAAATTAACTAAATAACAGCCTGAGTTCTCATCCGTTTTATACTACAATCTTATTACACACATTTGTTTTAAGTTGATTCACTAGTGCACTCAAAACACCATGTAGCTTCTGAGTTTCTATTGTTAAGCTTCAATGAATATTATTATCCTACCATAGATTATCTCTTTACGGTGTTTATTTTTCAAGTTTACTTTTCAAATTATAGTTAGTTATATTATACATTTTATTTTTTATTTGAAATATGAAACATATTTTAAATTTGGAATGGGGATATTTAGTCTGACACAAAATTCTTTTTGTTTATTTTTATTTCATAAAATTTTCCTGTTCAATAAATCATTATTCATATCATTCTTCTGATATTTCTTATTTTCATTACAACAAAATTTTAGTTCAGTTTTTTCTTCTTCCCAATTGAGTTAGAAAATACTTTTCAATCAATATAAAAATTAATTTTAACCTAGCTGGATTAACTGAAATAAAAGTTGACATCTGTATCACCTGTTTAGCTTAATATTATAATATAGCAAATTAACAGTCGCATGGCTGTCAGATTGATTGGATGCTAATAGACTGATTCATGTTGAAATTAAATTAAACATATGGTATGTATTCATTGTCGCTTATGCTTATCAGATTTGTTATATATGCTATATATGTTGGTTATGGCTCAATATTTCTATGTCTTTTTTGAGGGCTTTAAAAGGATATTCAAGGAAACAGTATCCATTTAACTTTATGAAATAATACTTACATAGTTGAGTTTTACAGACGATGGCAGCGACCAAGAGGAATGCTGCTGGTTTGACTTCAGCGGTGCCCAGGGCTACCCTCAACGATGAAGAGCTGGTATGTATTTGATATAATTAATTGAATAATTATTTTGATGATTAATTGGGCAGAAAACTTGAGACAGTTTATTATCATTATACTGACAAGAAATTTTAAATTAAAGTTATTGTATTTCCAATACCTAATCATTTTTTATATTTTAGAATTTTATTTATGCGAAATAAAAATATCTTTCAATAGACAGTAGTATGCTGTAATATACAAATTTGAGTTTGAATGAATATTTTTAAAAATATCAGATTTCTAATTGTACATTATTTTTTTTTTTTAATGTTATTTATTATGATAATAATACGAAGTTTACAAAAATATCATTTTGTTTTTCATCAGAAAATGCATGTTTACAAAAAAACACTCCAAGCGCTGATCTATCCCATCTCCTCAACGACTCCGCACAATTTCATGTTGTGGACCGCCACTTCGCCCACATACTGTTATGAGTGTGAGGGTCTCTTGTGGGGCATTGCGCGTCAGGGTGTCAGGTGTACGGAATGCGGTGTTAAATGTCACGAGAAGTGCAAAGACTTGCTCAATGCTGACTGTTTGCAGAGTAAGTAAGAGTATTTAATCCATAATTTATTACAGTTTCTCTTTTTTTTTTTTCATTTTAAAAGAGTTAGATTTTATTTATTTATAATTTTATTGTTTAATTTGTTTTATAGGAGCAGCAGAAAAAAGCTCAAAACATGGCGCAGAAGACAAAGCCAACAGTATTATAACCGCAATGAAGGAAAGGATGAAACAAAGAGAAAGGGAAAAACCAGAAATTTTTGAACTGATTAGGTAAGATTACAATTATATTTAATATTCCACTCTTAAGCTCTTAACAAAGAAAATAATTTATTTTTGAAAGCCATGAAAAATATTTAGTTCAGAACAATTTGAGGAAATGATTCATTATGTTTTTAAATAGTTTCATTAAAAATTCATTGATTAAAGTGTGATCATCTTACCAGATGGAAATAAGATTGTTTATCAATTCATAAAATTTTGACAATGGAGATATTATGTTGGACTGTTGAATTACCCATAGTATCTTGTATCTCTTTTCAACAATCTAAAATGGCTACTATCATTTCTATTTTCACTAACAAAGTGTATAAAGGTCTCTATCTCCTGATATGTTATATTTTTGGCTCAAAATAGAAACTCTTCTATATAATTTATAACCTAACAAAAACTCAAGGGAGGATATTTAATTAAAAAAGAATATTTTCTGGGATCCTTTCTCTGTTAGGACAACTTTGATAGTTTTGTAGAGTCCCAAATTCAATGTCATATGTCCAAACAAATTTGTTGTGGTATAGACCAACTATTTTTAATAAACTAAAGGATTGGAACATTCATGATATATATAGTATGTCAGTTGAATCTTATAAGTTGTCGCAATATCAACACTATGATTGACAAGGTATAAAACAAAAAATGCCAAAGATGAGATCCCAAGAATATTCTGGTTCAAGTTCTCCAAAGAACTTATTCATGAAGGAAAATCAATCTGAGAAAACAGAACTTTTTGAAGGAAAGCGTAAATTAATCACAACTGTCAGATGACATTAGAAGCCAATGCATAAACATGGATGGATGGTTTGGAATTTAAATAGATTCAGATAAAAAAAAAGTTGCGATTTAAAATGTTACCACACTTCATTAATTTCTATATTAGCTTTTTATTATAACAAAACATCATAAATACCCTGTGAAATAATCTAAACCTTTACCACTACAACCCATGAAGAGTCTTGGTTTCATCACCTTATAAGGAAATACCGTTTCTAGATTGTAAAATGTGGTGATTTGTCCAGATTCACACTCAACTGTCAGGTTCATCCCTGATTAAGATAATCCACTTTATAGAGACTGAGTGTGCCCCTAGAGAATCTCTCAACCACAAAAAGCTTCAACCTGACTTGTGCTCGGCCTTTGAAATAAGAGAGCAGTACCTCTCTGAGCATTCCTAACCTCTAAAGTAGACAAGATATGTTTACAATCAAATATTAAATTTGAGACTGATCTTTACTGTTTCTATAAAAATAAATTGTTATTTGAACTTTTTTTTTTTAAGTAAGCCATTAAGTTGCAAAAAAAAAAAAAAAAAAAACCTTAGAATTTAATATAAGAATCATTTCCTTGAATTTTCTCTGCAAATAATATATATTTGGAACTTACTTAATAATCTGAAATAAAAATGTTGCTCAGTAAAAATATTAATTATAAGTATTTGATCTGCATTTTTATTTGCTTTGATAGTTAATATAATCTCAGGCATATTAGTAATATTTACTCTTGCCATATATAGAAAAAGGCTGAAGTTGAATCAGAACAATGTTTCATTATTTTTTATTTACTTTTTTTCTTTTTTTTTGTAAAGTTCTCACTATGAGAGTTCTTTTAATGTAATTAATAACCACTGTTACAAAGAATAAATAAAAAATTAAAATAAGATAGATTTGTAATACTGTGAAATGATGAGGATTAGAGCAGTGGTGGAGTTGGTAGTGTTGTCTTTTGGCAGGACCGTGTTTGGCCCAGATCAGAAGAGCCACATAGGACACATGAAGGCAGTGAAGCAGTCTGTTTTAGCGGGAACTAGCAAGTGGTCAGCTAAAATAGCGATAACAGGTTTGTCCACAACTCCCGACTGCCAAACGAAATAACAGAAAAAATAACCAAATGTGTTTGAATTCCATTCTTCATTTTATTATTTTCCCCTCAGCCTGTTTTCTTATATTTGTAAATAATTTCTTCAGGCCGCTGCTTGTTTTTGTCCTCAATTGAGTCAATTTGATTTGTATTTTATTTTGTAAATATTAAATAAATTAAAAAATTAAAGAAATAGACAAATGAAGCAGTCGATGAGGAAGAAAATATTTTCGCTTACTATCTCATATGGTAATATAATGCCTGTGTATTTTTCCTTTTTATCATTTTCTTGATTGTTTTTTCTTCCCTGTGCACTCAGTGGATGTTGTCCAAATCAAAATATATACATTTATGATTAATAATTAAATTATAATGAAATGATGTTAGATTTTACGGTCAATCCATATTTATGATCTATCGATTGGATTATTGACCATCTTTTGTGAAATTAGTTGTATATTATGTTCTAAGTTTAACAATTTATTTTCTTCCAATTTGAAATTTATTCTATTTGACTTAATAGATAATAAATTAAAATAACTGCAAAAATTTTAGTTTCTTCCATAATTAGTGCTAAATTATCTGTTATTATCTTCAGTGAGACAACATTCACCAATTACTTGTTCCTACACATTACGATGATGTTAAACTTCCTCTTGCATGAGGTTCTCGAAACCTGTTTACATTTAAACTTTAAACCCAGTTGAAGCATCGTAAAGTGTATTCCTAGCTCTATTAATGGAAACCAACCCTCAACATCTTTTTCCTTTATCCTATACCATAAATCACCTATCAGTGGTTTGTATGTTTGGTTGTTTGATGGTAGTTTGTTCTTGGTGTGTTTGTGTTTTTGTTTGCAACAGAACAACGTTCACGATGGATCCGGACACGCACATAGACTCGCTTGCCCAAGCCGAGGACATTGTGCTTGAGGGGACCTCCAAATGGTCTTGCAAGATAGCCATTACAGGTCAGGCCTACCTTGCCTGCACACGAAAAACCACCTCTAACAGCTGTGTCATTGTACAATACTAGAGCTCACTTACATAATAGTCATTAACATTAATTTTTAAAAATATATTACTATAATATAAAGTAATACAGATTAAGTCAAACAGTAGCACGCTTCATAATCTCAAGTTGGCATTCACTAATAATATTAACCACTCTAAATCACATCTTCACACATTCCTTTAACAGTTTCAAATTAAAAAAAGAACTATTATTTTAAATTTTTTCTAATAAACATGAAATCTGCCAATAAAAGAATCATTTCTCTATAAATATAATTAAATTAAAGGAGAATATTTTATGCTTATTTAATGGAAATTAAAGTCCTGTTTTGAACCCGATTATCTCTTCAGCTTTCGGAACTCTAGGGCTTTGCTCAAAATTTTCAGGCCCAATTTATTTTAATTACAGATTTTATTGCTCAGTGAAAGTTCCTCATTAGGTTCCTTTCCTTCCAAGTTCAAACTACTTATACGATCGTTGAACCTAGGAAGTGTTAACCTGTTCGAAGTTACTGATAGCCTTGACCAATAACTTAGCAGTATTAGAGATAAGATGGCTGCTAGTTAATAGGCTGTTACTTTTAATTTTTATTTACTAATCTTGCTAAATTACATTGACGTTTGATCTATCTTTCAATTTAATTTTCAAAACCTTCTCTTTTTCCAAATTTAAATTTAATTAGAAATTAAACTTCCTAAATGACTTTAAAAAATAATAATTTAAAAATTAAAAAATATCTAGGAAAATGAATACCCTAGAATTTTAGTGATTATTACTTCGAATAAAGTTATTAATTTTTTTTTCAAATTAGTACATTGGCTTTATCATTATTTCTTATTTCTATCCTCTCTATCTTGCTACTATGAAGGTCTTCAACCTGTTAAGTGAGAACCCAGTCTAGAAATATTTTTGGCAGTCAATATTCAAGAATTATTAATTTTTATTTTATTTTCATATTCAATAATGAAATTGTTAATTTCAACTTAATTTGAAATAAAACAGATACCTGTTGAAGGAATTTAATTATAATCTAACACTTAAAATTATGTAGTTAATATTATTTATACTTATTGTCATTATAATTGTTTATTAGCATTAAAAAAAGCTATTGAAGTAGTAGCTTTTTAAAATTAATTCCATAATTTTTTCTCCTAGCTGGAACCTCTAATCTCCAGTAATGCACATTTATATGTCGATTTATCGTAATATTTGCAAAAAATTTGTATACATATTTGCTCAGCTTTTGACATTTTCCCTGATTATTATTAAAGCTCCATAAAAACTGATATTAAACAACATTTATTCAAGGATGACTTGACTATCCATTCATTCATTGTACAATCACACAGTTACAGAAACTCGCTAACGTTAACGAGAACCAAGAGAGTGGCTATATTATAAATGTAGGAACAGTAGATTATATAAAAACAAAAACAAAACAAAAAAAGTAGAAGTAACTTTCTTATAAGAGAAATAATAATAGAAAACTGATACAATTCAAAAAAAAATTTAGATGGCTTTACAATTAGTTCTTAAACACTTAGAAATTAGAAAATAAAATGCAACTTCTTTCTTCTGCACTCTTTAAAATGATTCATACATCTTTACTATTTTTTTTTTTTTTTTATTTAGTTAAATAGTTACTGTATCTTCATTTTCTGTTGGTTTGTTTTTTATATGTAATAATTTCTTCTCAGAATTTTTCTAAATTAAATTAGCTTAGTTTCTTGAACAAAGTAGCTATTGGAACAGTGAGTCATGATTAAATATTCGTTTGTTATTTTTAACTTCTCATGAATCAGATTAATCAATAAATATGTTTAATTGTCTTATTCTCTTATTTACGATCATGGTGAAAAGCTTTTCAGTAACTTGTGGCTCCTTGATAAGAATTCTGGATGTTGGTTATTATTATTTTTTTAATTATATACAGGGTGTTTAAGGTTTAAGTGGAAACTGAAAATATGAATTAAGGACCTCAAAACAAGAAAAAAATTTCCTCTGAAGGTATGTCCGTAAACGCTTTGTTTAGGAGATATTCACAACTACAGGTTTTCATTATTATGAATTGTTTATGTTATATTAAGCAAATAAAACTTATTTATTTATTCCAATTACTTTATTAATTAAAAGTAAATATTGAATTCATATTAAATGTTATTCAAAGTGAATTCCTTGAGCATCGTAAAGTGATTTCCTTGAGCATTAAGACAGGCTCGTCATATGTGTTATTGTTTCACAAGATTCAATAATCCTTCTTCGTAAAGAATTAAGGTCATTTACCAGACATTCACCATTAGTATAAATCTAAGGCATAATGATGAGTACTCTGCTAAAGCCTCTTACTAGTAGATAAATATTATTGAGAGTTTTCAATGCTAATTCTAAATAGTATTAATCCTTATGTTGCCAATAGTTTTTATATAGTTAGGGATAAAGGGACATATTAGCATTTTATCTAATTCATCTCCTAAACAAAGCGTTTGCAGACATACCTTCACTTAGAACAACATTTAATATTAATGTTAGTGTTTACATTTAATTAATAAAGTAGTTAAAACAAATAAATAGGTTTTATTTATTTCATATAACGTAAATAATTCATAACAACAAAAATCTTTAGTTGTGAATATTTCCTAAACAAAGCGTTTACGGACATACCTTCAGAGGAAATTTTTTTCTTGTTTTGAGGTCCTTTGTTCATTTTTGCAGTTTGGCAATTTAACCCTGAAACATCCTTTATATTTGGGGAAAAAAATTTAAATTAGATTTTTTTTTTCCAAGGAGTACAAGTTTTTAACCTTATAGTTTAGAGAATCCATAGAACAAAAAAGATTAATAACTTGATTTAAAGAGATCCCAAAACCCCAAAAATTTTATTAGAACCATTGAATGCAAAAGTGTTTAAAGTCAAAAACTGAAGCTTTGAGATGTTCAACACTTGAAAAAAGTTTACAAATGTGGGCATAGAAAAATATTAGGTATTTCTTGATTAGGACAGTTTGCTTCCTCTGCTAAAATAGTCATTCTCTAGCATGTCCAATTATTTAACAGAATGAAGTTAATACACACAATAATTAATTACTATGAAAATGACTTGCACCACTTTCGTATTTAAGAGCTCATTTATTGCCATAACTACGGGAGATTGTTGTTGAAGTAATATATTTTCTACAGTTCTCTATTAAAGAAAAAAAGTAAACAAATTTTCCTCCTTTTTTTCTCTCCATTCATTAGTTTAAAAAAATCTATAAATGTTTTTAATTTTAAAAAACTATATCATAAGAAAATTATTCAATTTAAAGAAGATAAAAAAAAATTAAAAATCTCTGATATAATGAAAGACAAAATAGCATTCTGTCAGAAATATACCAAAGTGACTAATGGACTGTTGACCATCGTACGATTGTGCTGCGAAAGAACTGGTAGTAAGCATGCTTATATTTATTAGTGTTAGTGTAGTGCTTATTTCGCATGTGCTTCAGCTTTATTGTAAATTAGTACTTTTTTTTCTAAGACACTGCAAATTTGACATTGGTTTAAATGCTTAAAGCAATGCTTATACAGTTTTTATAAAATTAATTATATTTTGTACTAGTCTTATAAATATTGTACCTCATTTAAATTACTTTGAAACATTAGATGAATAATTAACCCATTCATTTATACTAATCTTATCTGATCTCGGCAATATGGGAGTATCAAAATCCTTGTAATTGTAATCTGCATTTCAATGTTTAATGAAAAGCCTTTTTGTACCTCTTGAAGTGAGGCGCCCTGTCAATCTGTAGGAGAACCGTTCTCTGTTGCTAAAAGTATCTAGCATAGATGAGGTTAAAACCATACGTGAGCTCATGTAGAAAGCCCTTCTGGCCTTCTAGTCTAGTAGATGGTGTCGAGGATATTAAAAACGGTGTCGAGGATGATAAAGACTCCCAATATTTGCCTCTTGCTTGTCTGTCTCATTTTATTTTATTTTATTTTTTGTCATTTCGATGCTCTCCAATTAATTCGCGTCCAAGGCAGCCCTTTTCCCCAACTACGCCTCTGATTCCATTAATTTTTTATTTAGTTAGTTTTATAAGCCTGTTTTCTGTACTTAAAATTTTTTCCTCGTCCTATATGTCGGATATTTAGTGGTGAGAATCAAACCCAAAGATAGACTGAAGCTGATAGTACCTGTGATAATAAAGAAAGCTCAGTCTTCCCAGTTGTAATTAAGATTTTATAGACTCAAGAACTGCAACCATACCATATACCATGGTCTACTTTCTGTGCCTTACCAATATACAATTGTTATTATTGGTTTCATATCCCATTATTTATCTAATTTAACAATCTCAGATGCATTTAAATGCATATTTCTGGTCAAGATACTTTGCTTTCTCTAGAGATCCTTAGGATCCTTGGTGAACAAAGACCTTGCAAATTTTAGAACTCACTGCACATTCAAGCTGTAGCGTGAGAGTTATTAACCTACTGATATCCTAACTTAGGAATAATGTCATTGCCTAGTGGTACCCCTAGTAAGCCTATACAATCTTATAGGTATAAAAGGCTTAATAAGTAGAAAAAAATTTTTTCCTAAATGCAATAACTATTTAAAGATGAAGATAAAATTTGAGGAACTCCAGCTATAGTAAAGTGAATGGGTAAATGGTATTCAACTAATGTTATGTTTTATTAAACTACAGAACATGTTTTTCAAATTAATATTACTAAATTATTCATTGTATAAATAATTTATTTTATTAATAAAACATCAATTTTAATAATTATACTTAATTATTGAGAGAAAAGTTATGAGGTACATTTTTTTTTCAATTCACAAAAAATTAAAGATGAGAGTTTATAATAATTTTTTAATCATACTCCAACTAAATATATATTGGTACATGTATATGTTTGCTCAAATAGTAATTTTAAAATATTTTCTTATTACAATATTAATACTTAAGAAAGAAATGTTTGTGCTATTATTTTTACTATTTTCCATATTTTTTTGTCTATATGCACAATAAGGCTTGACCAGATAAGATTGGAGGAAAGGTTTAGTTACAAGATATTAAATTAAATTGTCACAATTTGTCATAGACTAAGATTTTGGATTAGATATATGAGCAGAAAGTCTGGAATAGGAGGCATTAGTTTCATTGTAAGTAATGATATTAATGAGGAAACTAGTTTTTAAGTGGATCTTTTGCCAACCCATCTTTACTAACCAAATTGGGGACATTACAATTTTATTTTGCAGGACTACTCCAAAATAAATATTTACTAATCTAAATGAGAATCAAACTTAGGCCATTCCAAACCACACTCAGGGACATTTCCCAATGTATCAATCTTCAGCGCCTCATATTTCAAGAAAAATTTAATTTTTGATCTTTAAAAAGAAAAAAAAAAATTATATAGTTTTAGAATATCAACACTGAAAACCTTTTATTGTCTGTTTTTTATCTAAAAGAAAGGATGGTAAAAGTAGAATATAAATATTAGGCTATTTTTTGTAGTAATATTGTTTACATTAATTATTTACAACTAAAACCACAAGAGTTGTTGATAACTTCTTCAACTAAAGCCCACCTTACACTGTAAATATTATTGAATCAATAATATCGAAGCAATATTATTTAACGTGGTATACATAGTACAAATTTCAATATAATTTCAATATTCCTCAGACGGTCACTATATTCGATATTGAATCAATAATATTAATCGTGTAAGGGATCCTTTAAACTATTGATGGAAACTGTTCATAATCATCCTCCATATTTTTCACAGAACAAGAGGGTCTTATGGCACAGTAAGGTTTCCAGAATTCCTGGTTCTGAGTAGAATTCTGACTAGGGTCAGATAATATTTATTTTGTGTTTTTTTCTCCTCAAAATGAAACTCTAGCTGTAGTGGGAATTGGGTAATAACCTCTAATTGAAAATCAGAAATAGGAAAAAAGATGGATAGCCTCACCTGTTGGGCTCGTTCTTCCCAGTACCAGTGGAACAGAATAATATGTCTGAACAGTGCCTGTTGGTGTCTGATCGTGACTGAAAGCCACGTTGCCTTTGCTATTCCAAGACACTTAAGTTAAGACAGGTTGTAATATTTCTAAATTAAATACCTAACCTATGGGAGGAGGGTGTTGTGTTGCCTCATAAACATCACTATATACAATAGTCTTTGTCTTATGTGGTTTAAGATTTTTTTTTTATGTCAAGAAATATTTCCCAGCAATTTTTTATCTATGATTCACAGTTCACTTTTTGTGTCATCAAAATCAAAAAGGGCGGATAGTAATGACAACATAGGAGGATCATCCTCGGAGGACCTCTGACTTTCACTCCAAATTTGAAAAAAATCTTTCCAGTTGTCTCGGAGAAAATGTGCGGACGACAGATGGCGGACAAAAAAGTTTTTTTTATTCGATTTTTAAGTTTTACTATCCGGAATTGTAAAACCTCAAGTTTTGGAGGGTGGGGGCTAAGTTTTTGAATTTTTCGATGATTACAATGGTTCATTATTGAAAATAAAAAAATATATAAAAAGAATTAGCAGAGTTTTTATTATTTCCATTGATGATTAAAAAAAAAATCATTTTTCACAATAATTAAGAAATGAACGCTCTTCAAATTGAGCCGCCATTCAGGTCATGTATAATTTAAAATGTTTTCATGCTAAATTTTTATTTTACAATTCATATCCTTGAGCAAATAATATACATGAAACATCCAATTCCTCAATAAGCACTTTTTTCTTTAATTTAATAACTTTTTCATCTTCAATTTTTATGGTCAATTCAGTTTCTGATTTCCTTAATTCCTCTACTCCACTATTCTAAAAAGAACAGTAAGATTGTGCAATTAAAATTATATTTTTATTGCTAAATTTTAGTGCTATGAACCATTTATTTATACTGCTATATAGACAGGCAGGCTTGCTTCCAAATTTGATCATATTATATTTCAGCTCAATGTTTTTTTTTAAATTATGACAAAAATTTTTATTATTGTCAAGTACTAGTAAGAATAGTGTATATCTCTATTTAGATATAGTTTTTGTTTACCTATTAATTATCGTTTATTTATTAATCATCAAAATAAAATAAAAACTTGTTGCACTACCATCCATGAAGTGTCTTGGTTCCAGCATTTGGTATAGAAAAAATATTTCTTGGCCTGCGATCACACAACTAAGCTCAGTTTCCCTAGCGACCCCATGAAGGACCCATGTCTGTTTTATAGAGGTTAAGAATTCCCCGAGAGGATCTAATGATTCCGTAGTTGGTTCATGGCTGATATAACAGAAAACAAATTTGTTGGACTCGAATCCAGTCTTTGGAATCAAAAGTTCAGAAACTTGTCCAGTGAGCTATTCCACTCCTTAAATATAGTAAAATGTAATTTAAACAAAAGGTCAAGCCTCGAAAAGTCTTGATATTTGTAGCTGTAAAAATATTTTCTTTTTTAAATATCATTAAGGAAATATTTCTAAAACAAAAATATTTCCTACTTCCGATCTAATTTTTTTAAATACCACAAAATAAAATAAATTGTTACAAAATAAAAACTCCTTTTCACCTACTATTACTCTACAAATGTAGACATTTGTTAAAGTGCTATTTGAAAATCAGTTGAAGTTTGATAATTATCCAAAAAGTGGAGCAGAGGAATGTTATATTTGAATGGAGATTTATAATCTTTAACTAATAAAGAAATATTAAATTTTACAGTCATCTGTGCTCAAGGCCTAATCGCCAAGGACAAGAGTGGGACCTCAGACCCTTACGTTACTGTTCAAGTTGGTAAGGTGAAGAAGAGAACGCGCACCATGCCTCAAGAACTTAACCCTGTTTGGAATGAAAAATTTTATTTGTACGTATTATTAATTTGAACTCATATATTTTTTTTATATATCCCGAAGTACATATGTATGTTTCATTGATTGATACTTCCGAAAACTATACTGATGCATTTATTTGTATTTGCATTTATTGATGCTAAGATTCTAATATTTTTCACAATTATTCTACTCTTTTGTTGCTTCATATCTAAATTACTCAAGAAAACATAGAAGTTGGAATACTATACTTAAGGCTTGATTTTTATTTATGTGATGTAAATTTATATTTAAATTTCAATTTTTAAGAAGAAAATTATACAATTTATATTTCATGATATTATTTGCAGTGAATGCCACAATTCTTCAGACAGAATAAAAGTGAGAGTTTGGGATGAAGATAATGATCTGAAATCTAAGTTAAGACAAAAATTAACTCGGGAATCAGATGATTTCTTGGGTCAGACAATAATTGAGGTAAGTGAACGAACAATATTTTGAAATTTCATTTATTTTTTTCAATTTTTCTATTTATTCTTATATCATTAATAACCAGGTATCCATTTAATTAGCAGATTACTTATAAAATATTGATTTAATCTTTCTTGTATTTTTAGGTAAGAACACTGTCCGGAGAAATGGAAGTGTGGTATAACTTAGAGAAAAGGACAGACAAATCAGCTGTTTCTGGTGCTATAAGGTTACATATCAGTGTAGAAATAAAAGGAGAAGAAAAGGTAATGCATACTTTAAACTTCTAAATATTTACAGTCAACACCGAATATTAAAATATAATATAAATATTTTACACCTCTAGGTGGCGCCTTATCATGTCCAATACACGTGCCTTCATGAAAATTTGTTCCATTCCTTGTGTGAGCACAACGGTGGAATGGTAGTCTTACCTCAGGTCAAAGGAGACGATGCCTGGAAAATTTATTTTGAGCCACCCGGTCAAGAAATAGTTGAGGAATTTGCCATGAGATATGGGATTGAAAGCATCTACCAAGCCATGACGTATGTAAACATACTATTTTTTTTTATGTTTTAAAATGCCTTATTAAAGTTTGATTGACATGTCTGAGATAACCTAAAATAATTATTTTTAATGATGTTATTTAGACACTTTCATTGCCTTTCTACTAAGTACCTGTGCCCTGGAGTACCTGCTGTGATGAGCACACTCCTGGCCAACATAAATGCTTATTATGCACATACGACAGCCTCATCTGCTGTATCAGCAAGTGATAGGTTCGCTGCGTCTAATTTCGGAGTGAGTATTTTTCACATTTCAACCATTCCCACTTTTTTTAAAAATTGTATTTCTACATTATTCCGATCACTGTCTTGCAGAAAGAAAAGTTCGTCAAGCTTTTAGACCAGCTTCACAACTCTCTTAGGATAGATCTTTCGATGTATCGGAACAATTTCCCCGCGTCAAGTCAGGAAAAACTTATGGACCTCAAATCGACAGTAGACCTTCTGACAAGTATAACATTTTTCAGGATGAAGGTAATTTTGAAAATCACTTTTAAAAACAATGAAGCAAGTACACAAAAATTAATATGTATTTCTATTATTTCAGTTTGGATTGATCAAAAAATAAATTGAGGTTATCATTCATGTTGTTGGAGATTAAATCGATTAATAAATGAAATACACTATTTTTGTGAATCATTTCTTGTGTTTCTTTTGTGTATAAATAACAATTTGAAATTTATTTTTTCTAATTTTGAGAACTCTGGTTTTATATTTATATTGAAGAAAAAAAATTATTGTTGGCCTATTGGTGTCCAGATAAATAAAAAGTGATTGTTTTTGGCACAAAATACTTATCACAGTGCTTTAGCATAAAATAAATACATGTTCAAATTTTTATAAATTTGTTTTTTGAGAAGAAGGAGAAAGTAATAAAATTTTCTTAAATAAATTATAGAACATAGTTTTAATGTAACAAAATTGAAAAAAAAAAATGAAAAAATAAAATAAACATTGAAAAACAATTTAATAAATTTTTTAAATAATATTCAAATAAAATATGACTTTGTTAATGTATTTAGCAACAACAAGGAGATTAAAAAAAGCAAACACTATTACGACTGAAAGAAGATATACTATATTATAATATTTATTTATTTTAGGCATTGTAGACCATGTAGATCTTTTGCCAGCTTAACAAGCCTGCTCCATCTCTGCCTGTCTTGGGCATAATATTTATAGAAACATTATATTATATTATTTAACAATATATTAAAAAAATTAAAATACATTTATAAATTTGGTTATTTATTTAGGTTCAAGAACTCTCCAGCCCACCCAGAGCCAGCACTGTTGTGAAGGAGTGTGTAAAGGCGTGCCTTAGGTCAACGTACCAATTTTTGTTTGAAAACTGTTATGAGCTTTATAATAGAGAGTTTCAGGTGAGCTCAGAGCACAGAAAATATTCCAGAAGCTTAGGTTTTCATACATTCGGTTTCAAATAATGTTTGATTTTTATAGGTCGATCCAAATGAAGCAAAGAGAGATTCGGAAGATAATGGTCCACGGTTAGACAGCCTCGACTTTTGGCACAAAATAATAGCTCTTATTGTATCTGTGATAGAAGAGGACAAAAATAGTTATGTCCCTGTACTTAACCAATTCCCCCAAGAGCTCAACATAGGACAGGTATCTAGTTAATTTAGTTATGAATTTTATTCATTATTATTCTAATTAAACTGTTAGATATTGAGTACTTAATTTTAATTGAAAGATGAAAATATATTTATAAAACAAGTCACAATCATTCTGAATAAAAGTTACATGAAGAAAGTTATCATCAATAGTATATCAAAGGCCAATATTATATAATAATGATGATATATAATAATGCAAAATAAACTTGAATAATTTAAAAATAATGTAAACCCTACTATGCAATTTGAAAAATTACTCTCGGCCTCAGATGAAATATAAACCTTAAGGGTTAGTTAACATAATTGTATTGCAAAAACATTTATAGATCAAATAGCTGATAAATACTGGTATGAATAAAAAATCATTTAATCAATACACAATTTCTTATTAAATGTTTTAGTTGTCAGCTGCAACAATGTGGAATCAGTTTGCTGTTGATATGAAATATGCGCTGGAAGAACACGAAACGCATCGTCTGTGTAAATCATCAGCTTACATGAATCTTCACTTTAAGGTAATCTTACATAGAAGTTATTTACAATTTTTTCACTAAATCGTTAACTCATAAATGATATGAGCAAAGTGGACTGATTATTAATTATGAAATTCCTTAAAGACCGCTAATTTTAATATTTGAATATTGTATGTTATTTTTAACTATATACATTATAGATCGAAAGTGTAATTCAAAAAATAGCCATGGTTGTTTTATATTTAGGTTAGCTGAAATGTAAGGGTTAAAAATAACTTTTCTTTTTTTAATTGTATCAGAATGTAATGGTACATTCTTCCAGAGAGTTAGAATACAAACTAATTATCCTGATTATTCTAAGAAAAAAATTTAAAAATCATTCTTTATGTTTTATCTCTTGTTTTCAACCTCTCCTTGGTTAAAAATATTTAACCATTTTTCAGTGGTATGTTACAGTACAGTAAGATTAATCCATGAAGATCTTCATAAAAAAACAAAACAAAGAAAAAATAAAATATAGAAAAAAAACAAAGAAGAAAAGAAACATAAATAAATAATTTTTTTTAATAAATAATCTTTTGTAGCTGAATTTTAAACAAAGTTTTCCCAAACTAGTGACTAAAATGATTCTGCAGATTCATTTTTGGAAAATCATGACATTTTTAAGATATATGGTATTACTATGATAATTAAAATTATGCTATAAGATAATGAGCTTATATATTAATTTATGAACCAGGTGAAATGGCTGTATACCAACTATGTAAAAGACGTGCCTGCTTATAAGGGCTCAGTTCCGGAATATCCAGCTTGGTTTGAACCATTTGTGATGCAGTGGCTCAACGAGAATGATGACGTTTCCCTTGAATATCTCCATGGTGCCTTTAATAGGGATAAGAAAGATGGGGTAAGTTTAAATGTTTAATAGTAAACAAAGCATCTCCCAAATATTATACATACTAGCACTTTCCTAGCCCATGGAGAAATGGTTACACATATTTATTTTATATAATTTTACAATAAATTATTTTTTCAATTTATACTTATATATTTTTTCTCTTTTTTTTTTTTTTTATTAGTTCCAAAGAAGTTCAGAACATGCTCTTTTCTCATGTTCGGTGGTCGATGTTTTTACCCAACTTACGCAATGTTTTGATGTTGTATCAAAGCTTGAATGCCCAGATCCTGAAATATGGAAGAGATACATGAAAAGATTTGCTAAAACCATAGTTAAAGTTCTCATAGCTTATGCTGATATAGTCAAAAAAGAATTTCCAAGTCAGCTGAAAGAAGAACGAATAGTAAGTTTTTTTATCATTAGTGAACTAAACAGGTGCTTACACTTCTGAAGAAGTATTGCTCTATAAAATTTGACTAGGCCATAAACATTTTATTTGTTTTTAGGCATGTATTTTAATGAACAATATCCAACAATTGAGAGTACAACTAGAGAAGATGTTTGAGTCCATGGGAGGATCGAAGCTTGAACAGGATGCAGCGAATATACTTAATGAATTACAGCAAAGTCTAAATGGTTCTCTTGATGAGCTGGCACACCTCTTTGCCAACAGGTTAATTTATTTATTTTTGTAGACATTTTTCAGATATGTCTACACTTTTTAACTCGTATTTTCATGCCTAGACGTTTTTGACCAATGACAATTTAATTCATTGTTTCACTTGCTTTACAAAACAATATCCAGATTCATGAAATAGTTTCTGTTTAAAATTGGCAGCCAACAAACTGTTAATATCCTATAAATATTTTATATTATTTTATATAGTTATTTCTTAGTTATAAAACTAATTCATCATTTTGTTTGTTAAGTGACTGAGTTGTTTTGTGGCAAAGGAAGGGCTACAAATATTTAAAAAGTTTATATAATTATTGACTGTTTGAATTTAAATATAACAAAGTTTGTATAAAAATGAACACCTAAAAAATAAGCACAAACTTATAATGGGGTCTTGACTCCAAAACATCCTTGAAAATTGAAGAACAAATTAGTTGTATAAATATGAAATAATAAAAAAAGTAAGTTAAAAAAATCACTATAAATAATTAAAAACAAGTTACTATTGTAGATTTGTTTTTATTATTATAATGTTAACTAGAGTGTTATGGATATAATTAAGATTTGTTTTATGTCATATTAATTAATAAAAAGTATCTCAATTAAATTTAAGAAATAACTTAACAGACAACTAGCGAAAACAAAGAAAAAAACGGATTTCTTAAAAATAAATAAAAGATCAACTTTTTTTTCTGATTCTTTAAAAAAGAAAAAGTAAATAAATATTTTTAATATAATATTGAGATAATATATTGAAATTATACAACACATTGTAAATAACCTATTAAAGTTAATTGTAAATAATTTGTTTTGGCGGGAATTGTGAATATTCCTTCCGCTTTTATCGGGGGACTAGGTTATTTACACTCCTGATTATTAAAACAAAACCCAGGCACTGGATATAGACTTTTTGAGGGTGTTTAACTAGGAATTTGTGAACTTAATACTTTTGTGACACTGAGTGAGAAGAAACAATAAGAATATATATATCTGAAATGTGGGACTTAGTAAACACACTTTGAATGAATTGACTCACCTGGTTTATTATTCTTCAATTGTGAGGCCTATAGGACAACTAAATAAATAAATGACTTTTCACTCCTGTCTAACAAAACAATTTATTTTATTTATTTATTTACAACTGTAATAACTGAATCTATTAAAGTCTTATAACTGTAGGCTTGATATTCTTGGTCTTCAATGTCCTGCCTCTCTCATCTCAAGTAATGTCCTCTCACCTCCGTGCCCAAGCATCAAGTGCCCTCTCTCCTCTCTTCTCCAACGTCCCTCTCCAGCTGTTGCTAACTGCTCGGCCCTTTTCCTTCTTCCTTCTTCATCGATTGTTTATCAATATGAGACTTTTCAATGAATAATTTGTCCACTGCATAATTGAGTATAATTCATCTTGCGTCCTCACATTCCTATATATTCCTTCTTATTCCCTCACAAAATGTCACATAAAGGAGTAAATACTGGGGACTATCTACTACAACATTTGTTCTAACAGTATTATTCATCGTATCGTGTATATGTAGCAACCCATTGCATTTTGCCTGCACTTCTTTTAAAATAAATTTGCAGAAATATTTTAAATAATCTATTTTTTAATATAAAATATTGGCCTCTGCCAATTATTCATAAATATTTCTTTTTAACTGATATCGGTATCTGATTTCTAGCTTGGAGCCTCGTATAACAGTGAGTGTGAAAGAGCTTGGAGATCTATTGCTTGCAATAAAAGGAGGAGGAAACCAAACGCAGAGGAACACAGTCGCTGCTGAGGCTGATGAGGTCCTCAGACCTTTGATGGACCTCCTGGATGGTGAGTTAAATTATAAGTTAACACATTCAGTCTCGATTTTTAACAATGGACCTAGTTGAAACCATCTTAAAAAGATAACCAAAACGTTTCAGAATTACGAGTGAACCAAATAGATATTTATCATTATTACTGCATATTTTATTTATTGCTTAGTCTTTAAAATATTGAGAAATTAAGACAAAAAATGAAACCATGAACACATATATACTACAGTAAATTATAAGCCATCATCTTAAGGAATGCACAGTATGAAATTAAGTTTTATAATTTATATGCGATCTGTTTATTCTAATTTTAAACAGGTTCCCTGTCATTGTATGCACAATCATGTGAAAAGACTGTTCTTAAGAGGTTGCTGAAAGAGCTGTGGAAAATCGTAATGAGGATATTAGAGAAAACAGTCGTCCTTCCTCCTATGACTGACAAGAGTGTAAGTATACAATTATCTTATCTGTTATATGTGACTTCATGTTTTTGAATAGTTAGATAAAAATTATTTAAATATTCTAATCGGGTAAATTTTAAAAATAAAACTTAAAAATATTATAGTTTTGTAATTTAAAATTAATAAGAAAATTTAAACAGTTTAATAAAATTATGTTCATTCCATGAACATGAAATCTACTGGTCATTCTTACATGTAAATACAAGTTTTTTACTATCCTAACTCAATTAGTTAAGGAAAATATTATGACCGGGCAAATTTTCGATATTTTAACAGATCTTTTCAACAGACGAAGAATTTGAATCTTTTTATTGATAAAGCTTTAAATCATTTCAATAGTGCTTATATTATGTTTAGACAAAGCAAAGGGATATTATTCAAATCTACAGAGGCTCTGACCCGTTTGCATGAGAAACATGTTAATTAGATTAAGATGATACGTTAAAATGTTAAATTAGCAGATATCTTTGAAACAAGATAATATAAATTTATTTATTTGTCAACAGTATCAAGATTTTCGTAAGTTTAGTATTAATTAATTATATTACCATTACAGATGATTCTCAAGAATCTTACTGACAATGCTAAAAACTTAGCTGCTAATGCAAAAATCGAAGATATGTCAAGACTGATCAAAAACCATATGGCAGGAAAACAAGATGTCAAAAACGCCTTAAGTGGAGTCATTGTGAGTTAAAATTTTATTTTTTCTTAACAATTTTTTTTTTTTTTTTTTGTCGGTTATATAAAAAGGTTTGACCAATACGATCCTTAATCTTGTTGATTGATCATTACTGACACTTAAACAAATTTATAGAGGGTTGTAATAAACTCTATTTCTATTTAAAAATGTGCCTACTGTAAAAATTGTGAATAAATGGAATTACTATATGAAATCTTAAAACAGTCACCAATATTGGAAAAAAAAGAAAGAGAACAAGGGTTAGAAACAAACATTATTTGCGGAATAAAGCGTTTTGACCTTAAACTTTTGAAAAGAACCGTTATAATCATAATTGATGTAGTCAAATTCAAAGATGAACTGACTCAAATAAATAGATAAATGAGAATGCCAACAAGTTTTCTACTATCTATACCTGATCTGTCAATATACAAAACTAAGTAAGGATCCAACTCTTAATTTGATAAAATTACAATTTTGATAAATAAGAAAAAATTAAGTAATTTTCCACAACAGTAGTTCCACTTAATGATGATAATTTACCATCTTATCCAAATAATAGGAAATCCACTGAAATTCATTTGTTAATAGTATCCATCAGAAAGAGAGAGCTTAATTCTATTTGGAAACAGTTTGCCACAAGATGGGTTACGTATCATAGGGTAATGTTATTTCGCATACTAGAAGTTAATGTTTCAATGAAATATCATTTCGACATCCAATCTGCATATGTTTGTAAAAACAATTTTATTGGAAAATTTAGTTTTGAGCTTTTCTGATCGATCTTAAACTCACACATTTTCAGAAATACAAACCAAAAGGTTACTTAAATATTTCATCTTTGTATTAAGCAAGCAATAAAAATGAAACTAGAAAATTTAGTTCAAAAAATAAAAAATAGTTGGTTATTTCTATCTCATAAGTATTTTTAGTTTTTTTGCTTATATTCTTATAAGCATCTTCTTTTTGCTTATACTTCTTTTTATTACAGGCAAAAAAAATTGTATCTTCAGTTTAATTTTACTAGCCACATTATTATTATTGTATTGTATATAATGACTTATTGCTCACAGGAGGTTGAGAAAAACCTATCACCAAAGCAGTGCGCTGTTCTGGAAGTTGCTCTGGATACCATCAAGCAGTACTTCCATGCCGGAGGAAATGGCCTCAAGAAGAACTTCCTTGAAAAGAGCCCTGAGCTGCAATCACTCCGATATGCTCTGTCCCTCTACACACAAACAACGGATACTCTCATCAAGACCTTTGTACAAACTCAAACCAATGAGGGTAAGCTGGATTTATTATTTCTATTCTATATTGGATACAGTATACATACCCTAAACCCTAATATATGTACCTTCAGTCTCCTATGAAATATTATTCTCACGTGATATCTTTCAAAAGATTAATTTTTCCTTCAATTTTATTACTAATCAGAAAAAATCATTTTACTTGTTAAAATGTGAAAAGTCAAACTGATTTAAATGCCATTTCCTTCACAAATATGTATTTCTCATTAATATCTCCAGATTTATATATTCCATCAATAAGTTCATCTTCAAGTATATACTGGGTGTTTCAGGATTAAGTGGCCAATCTGCAAAAATGATCTAAGGGTCTCAAAACAAGAAAAAAATTCTTCTGAAGGTATGTCCGCAAACGCTTTGTTTAGGAGATATTCACACCTAAAGATTTTCATTGTTATGAATTATTTACGTTATATGAAATAAATAAAACCTATTTATTGGTTCTAACTACTTTATTAATTAAATGTAAACATTAACATTCATATTAAATGTTGTTCAAAGTGATTTCCTTGAGCATTAAGACAGGCTCGACGTCTTTCTTCAACAGCAGCAATGGCAGAACGGCATTGCATTACATTGACTGGACTTGCTCAATCATATCCCACATCCCATATCCCAATCAATGGATTGGCCATGTAGGACCATTGGCTTGGCCTGCACCCTCTCCAGACCTGACACCACTGGATTTTTTGTTTAGGGTGACATTAAACAAAAAGTCTATGCAAGTCTGATCAATGACCTTAATTCCTTAAGAAGAAGGATAATTGAATCTTGTGAAACAATATCATATATCCAGTGCCGTTCTGCCACTGCTGCTGTTGAAGAAATATGCCGAGCCTGTCTTAATGCTCAAGGAAATCACTTTGAACAACATTTAATATGAATGTTAATGTTTACATTTAATTAAGAAAGTAGTTAAAACAAATAAATATGTTTTATTTATTTCATATAACATAAATAATTCATAACAACGAAAATCTTTAGATGTGAATATCTCCAAAACAAAGTCTTTGCGGACATACCTTCAGAGGAAATTTTTTTCTTGTTTTCAGGTCCTCAGTTCATTTTTGTAATTTGGCCACTTAACTCTGAAACATCATATATATGTTAATGTATGTTAAATACTCCTATATTGTTGTCCAACACAGGTCCCGGCCAAATATGTAATGATTTATTTCTAGTATACATTATTGAAAAAAATTCTATTCCCAATACAATGTTTTATTCACAATAACATTACTGACAAAAATGTTTTGGAGTGTTTCATTATTTTCGTGTTTTTTAAAATACTATAATTTTAATTTTAATATAAATTTTCATTACCCACTTGAGTCTAGCAATGACTTGGATCAAATCCAGCCTGATAGAGTTGAAATTTATTTTGTGGCAGACCCATGGATTGAATCTATACCTTCCCACTCTGGTTAGAATAGATTTAGGTGTGCCATATTGTTAATAGTCAAATAAAATTGGCAAACATTTACTAATAAAGTTGACAATATATGATTATTTAATTTTTTTTATATAGATATGCATAAAGATGATCTTGAAGTTGAAGTGTTGAATAATTTATAAATATGGGAAAATTGATGGGTAATACATATATAAAAAAAAAAAAGGAAATCTAACCAAATTTGATATTTCTGTTTCACCATAAACTTTAAATATAGATAGTAAAAATGTTATGTTTTATTCTATTATTTAAAAAATAAACAACATAGTATGAAAGATAAAATAATTATTCAAAACAGCACTTTAGTGCATAGTAAAATGATTTTATTTTTATTCATACATTTGATTCTTTTCTGAAGACTGACATTACTTTCTTAAAAAATCCTGGTGTGGTCTTTGTGTTAACTGACTTTGTGTTTTCTTTTCTGTCTCTGTGTGCTTCTCCTCTTCTGTGTGCTTACGATACCTACCTAAACTAAATGTCAAACTCACACGTTAATAAAATCAAACAGTCCCACTTAATGACAAAAAGACATTGAGACAACATTCCGTGTCGAGTGAGAGGGAAGATGGATCGATGGAAGGCCTGGAGGAACCGCTGAGGGCGAAGAAGAGACGAGAGTCCTCCCAAGGTAGAACGCTATCAGCGCCTCTAGAACAAAGCTTATCACTTCACGCCCAAATAGCATTCTTTAGAATTAGTTTTATCAGTTATTTATTTAATAATATAATTTAATAATTAGAATTTTCACCGCAGTCAACTTCGATGCTAGTTTCCACAGCTTTAGGCAATTTTAGTGAACTTTTCACATTCACTCTAGTATCACATCTAGTTTTGTTTAGTTTTAATTTTTCTATCTTCTGTATCACATTTATAGCACTTTTTTTTTAAACAAAAATATTTAGTATTTGCTCTTATATATTTTATCTGTATTGTTATACATTGTAATAATTAAACTACTAGACAAAAGCTTTTAAATATTATCTATACTATCTTAATATCCAAGCTAGTAAATTATGAAGTGCATTTATTAAACAAGTAAATGAAGTTTCTAAAAAAATAAGATATTAAAGAAAAGGGAAATAAGAATTAAGATAGCTTTCACATATTATACAAATTTTACACCAATAAACCAATAGATAAAATTTTATTTACATGTTTATTTTGTCTAGTAGCTTACTTACAAATAATTGTTAATTATTGTAGATTGTAGGTCATAGAAAAATATTTCTGTAAAATGCATTACTTATCGCCGAGTTTTTTTTTTATAATGCACATGAATTCAAATTATGCTACATTAAAAAAAAAATCAAAATAATTCTTCACTAAACCTGGAAAAGTAGTATTCGGCCCCTCAATGAATAAACATCACACTTCTGAGAATTACGGAAAAGCCCCAATTTCAGGAGTTTTCCCGAAAAATCAGTCATAGTTTTGTTCATCTTGAAGGCTTTTAATATATAATATGATGCTTGTTCTCTATTTTTTATTTTGTCTTTTCTTATATTATTTCTAGCTATGAGTCAAAAAGAATTAATTGTATAAGATAATCGGTTTGAAATAATATTTTAGTCTTTTTTATTTATGCAAATTCTCAGAATTGGGACATTTTAAATCTGGAGATTGGCAAAATTTTTATATTTAATCAGTTACTAAAAACTCATCAACACCCATTTGCTTACCACATAAATCATACGATAATTTGATCACAAAATCAAGAATAAAGGCGGCCTATAAAAATATTGAGCTGTTTGGCCTACAGATAATAATAAAACAGACCCTCCAAAGTTTACTGAAGGAGAAATATGTGCAAACAATTGAAGGGAAGCGATGGAGTGGATTGCTGGAAGAAAGTGGCAGGATCCTGAGAGACCTCTCAAGAGGACAAGCCGTTGCATGCTTTTGAATGCCGTTGAAGCACCTCCACCGCATCGGTATAACAGATAGCCCGACATTCCCTCTGCGTTCGTTGGATATTAAGACAGGTGAACATCTTGACACATGCCATGTATTACAGGACATAACATGTTTCTTTAATGAAATGTATAGCCCTTATCTTAGGAGAGCAAAATTATATTGACTGCAAGAGTACACATGGCTGAGCAATTGTTGGAAAAAAATAATAATAATACAATAATTACAAATATATATGTAAAAGATCAATATTTAAATTTAAAAATGGACAAAATTGCCTGAAACGTCGTCGAAAAAATCAAAATGACTTGAAGCATGGAGTGGAGATGTAAGGGTTAAATAAAGTTATTTTCTTCAAAATTATAAATTGTATTAATTATAATTGCCCTTGAAAATTTGGAAGACTTTATAAATGTAAAGTTTCATTGAGTTGGTATAGATTTTTAGATGTAAAATTCTCCAAAATTTATTGAAGTCATACGTTTTCTTACTTTATTTATATATATATATATATATATATATATATATATATATATATATATATATATATATATATATATATATATAATATAATATAATATAATATATATAAATATAGATTGGACAATTCATATAAGCAATCCTCACTTCTTCACTCTTGCACTTCCCCCCACTCTTTCATCTTTCATAACTCACCCTTTACTAACTGGTCAAGTTATAAGAATCAAAAGGGAAAAAAAGGAAGTCGGTACTTGCCTTTTGGTTGCCATATGCTTTCACATCGAGTACTTTTTTTTGTTTACTTTGTTTTATTTCTTTTATTCTCTCAATCCTTCAGCATTATACTCGTACATAGGATGAGGTCCCGATAAATTGATTTTTCTTTCAGTGATGATGCTAAATCATCACTCCATTGTTCTTTCAGCTCTATGATTTCCTGTATCTGTTTCTAACTATAAGTTAAGTATGAAAGCTAAGCACTAATTTTTATTTTTCAGTTTTTATTTTGTCGGAGTAAGATGTAGTTTTATGTTTCTCTTTTATTATTTATTTATCCAGGCTGCAGAGCGATCTGGCTAAGGCTTATTGTATTTAATACTATTTAATTGAAATATTGCTTCTAGTGTAGTTGATGTAGAACACGTATTCTTAAATGCTACAATAAGGTTTTATTGCTTTATAGTTCACGAGTGAATCTTAATATTTTTGTATTTTTTTTAAATTATAATATATTTTACAATTCATTATGAATAGTTATTAGTTCAAAGAAAACCATATAAGTAACCTTTTATTTTTCATCTTGGATACTATTAATATCAAGTCTTATCTTTTTGTTCTTTAATTTTTGGGCAATATTAATAAAATATGAATTGATTAGTCATTTAAAAGATGTACCATCAAGATTTATACGTCATCAGAAAACCAAAAGCTTGAGTTAGCTGTTAGGTGTCACATATTTCAATTACTACTAATGAATTGGGGTAGAACAATCTGTATCTATTCGGTACTCCTGATATAAACCTTCTACCATTCAGAAAACGTGTCCTATATTAAGACAACAAATAGTGGTCATATCAAGTTAATTTGATTTAATTGAAATTAGTTCTAAAAAAAAAAAATTCAAACATAAACATAGAATAAGGCCAATGCCAAATATAATTTAATAAATTTATGGAAGTAATGGTTGTGGGTATGGTAAAAAACAAAATAGTCTCTTATGCCTCTCAGCATGGAGGTGAAAAAAAATATATATATATATTAATGAAATATACTATTTAATGTGTGCCAGATTCTATTATTAATAATAAATCATATTTTGACTTTTAAAATAATATAGGTTCAAATTTCATCTCAAAAAATAATAATAAATAAAACAATGCATTTGTTTATATCTTTGGTCTTTGGCCATTACTAGTTAAGTTGTCTTATCCTCACATTGCGTTAAGTGGACCATTCTATAACTCTTGAGCTCTTATGCCATTGGTAAAATTCAGTAACTCTTCTAGAGTAACTCTAGTAGAGTAACCAAAGGGTAAGAATTACAGAGTTAACGAATGATCGACTTAACACAATGTGAGGATAAGTCGTCTTAACTAGTTATGGCCAGAGATATATGTATATCTTTCCTGATTTAATAAAATTAATTAATTAATAAAAAATATCTGTTTAAAAAATAAATGGGAATATTAAAATTTTGTTGATTATAAAAAATTGTTTCTTCGTAATGCTTCAAATTAAACATTTTGCATGTTTATTGCTATGTATTAGTTTTCTTTTTCTCATGTCAACTACATTATTCATCTGATTTTGAACTAAAATATTAACAAAAGAAATTTTATAGTTTCTATTTCAGAAATGACGGCAGCAGACGAAGGAAGTGTTGGTGAGGTGTCTATCCAAGTGGACCTGTTTACTCATCCTGGATCCGGAGAGCACAAAGTGACTGTAAAAGGTAAATTTTAATTTTTAATTATAAAATTTAATTCTGTAACTCTTTAATATAACGCCAGTGGAATATAGCAGTCAAATCCCTTTAGAGGACATCTTAAGAAAATTTAAGAAAGATATTTGGAAAATGTGGCAAAATGAGTGGGAAGAAAAATAATCAAAATTAAGAGAAATAAATACCAACTGTTCAAAATGTGAAACCTCCCATCGGTCCTTCAGAAATGAAGAGACAGAACACTGCAGACTAAGAGGACTTCATCCTCCGACATGCGAGAGCTGCAATGCCCAACGGACCATAAAACACATCATATAAGACTGTCCTATATTTGAAACAGTTAAGAAAAAGTTGGACATGCCAAAAAGCCTAAAAGAAATCTTGAATGACAGTGGAATAGCTGTTAAAATAATGTTTGAATTTTTAAAAAGAATAAATTTCTATAACAGAGTGTAAATAAAAGGTGTTGCCAATGACCCTGATGGGCAAATGCTACTCTGAGTACAGAGTATCAAATACTTTACTCAAATTGAATCATTACTGGGAATTCAATCACTACTCCAGTTAATCATTTGACATCAACCGAAGTAGTAATTAAATTCTTTGGTACACAAAACAGGTCAGTATTTGAGTAAAATTGGTACTGCTATGTATTAGCATTGTCCATCTCTGCTGCAGATTAGAGGCTACAAAAAAATAATATAAATAAATAAAAATAAAATTCTGTAATAATGAATATGAGGATCATGTATTTAAGTGAAATTTCAATTGCATTTCTTTTATATTGTATTATTGCCATTGTTGAAATTTGATAGCAAATAAATTTTAAGTCTAAGCTACTAATTTTCGTTCTGATTACAGTTGTTGCTGCTAATGACTTGAAGTGGCCAACAGCAACTGGAATGTTCCGACCGTTCGTAGAGGTCAATCTTATCGGTCCTCACCTAGCGGACAAAAAGAGGAAACAAGCTACAAAATCAAAATCAAACAATTGGTCACCCAAGTTCAATGAGACTTTCCACTTGTAAGATTTTTTTTTTTATTTAAATCATTGAGCTTAATTACTCAATTATTTATTATAATGCAATTCCAATATAAATTCTTATTTTATCTCATTAAGCAGGCAAGTTGGATGAGCTATGATAATGATTTTATTTTTATTTATCTCTTATAATTTAGATTTTGTACAATTGTTAAATCCTAATGAATATGAAAAGTGTTTTCCATCACCATTACCTAACCCCTAAGTACCTTTCTGACACTAGATGAAGTACTGTTTCATTTTCAATAGAAAATCTTAAGTTATGAATTTTTAATTGTGAGGAATAAATAAAGTTTTCAGAGAAAAATCAATAAATATACCACTCATAACTATTGTAATTAACATATGAGAGAGAAAACCTATACTTTACTACAAATCTGAATATGAGTTACCAAAACTGTCTTAAAATAATAGGTTTTTCTCCAAAGCTATTAAGTTGGATTAGGGGAAAACTTTTGTAATGATTTTCAATAAAATAATTTAATAAAAAATTTAATTACACAGTAATTTTCTCATACAACAAGCTAAACTCAATAATTATGATGATATATAATTTCAAACCAAATTATCTGAGTGAAATAGCTCTGTATATATCACTTTTTGAATTGTTAACTTTGAACAAAGTGTAATTACAATAACTAATTATGATTATTCATTCAGTTACGATGTTATATTATTTTATTTTAGCATTATTGGAAATGAAGAGCAGTTAGAATACTTCGAGCTTCATATCTGTGTGAAAGATTATTGCTTTGCCCGAGACGATCGATTGGTTGGAGTTGCGGTAATGCAGCTTAAAGATATTGTTGGGCAGGTACGTTATTTTTTATTTATAAGTCTTCATTTTATTTAAAGTAACTAATTTAATAAATCTTATTTCGTGTATTTCTGACCCATTTAAATAAGCCTTAACTTATTATTGTCATTTCCAAAATAAATCTGTGAAAAAAACTTTCAGCTAAGTTATATTTCAATATCTATAATGTTAACTGGCCAGAGTTAACATGGTGTTCAATTTTGAAATACTTAATGTTTTGTTTCTTTTTTTCTTAACGTTTTAAATAATGGATCTATAAATTATGAGTCTTGGCTTATATTTTAGCTGCAATAGCATGAAAAGTCTTTACATTAATGTATATTTAAAAACTTATTATTTAGAAAAGTAAATAATTGGTCTGGATTCATGGATTATGGCTGTTCAAGGTCAAGCTGAAAATGTAGAAACACAATTCTAAGTAAAATTGATGTTCCAGGGCGGCTCTTGTGCATGCTGGCTTTCATTGGGTAAGAGAATTCAAATGGACGAGACCGGCTGGACTATATTGAGGATATTATCACAAAGGTCTAATGACGAAGTTGCTAAGGAATTTGTCAAACTCAAATCTGACATCAGACCAGAGAATCCACTCGCCTCGTGAGGCTTTCTCACGTCTCCAATAACACATTTCTTCATCAACTTTTTCGTTTTTAATTATTCTCTTTTATATAGTGTACATAAGCATCGTTTTCTTCTTATTTTTTAAATTATTTCATTGCATTAATTGTTTTATTACAGTAGACTCGATAATTTGCTGCAGTTTAATATGAATTATCTTCTTTATTGAACTTTAAGGTACTTTTGATTGTAATGGAATTGCAATTTTCTAATATTGATACATTTTTCTATAGGCTATATATTAAAACCAATAAGGGTTAATAATAAGTAATTACTAATGTAATAAATGAATTTTATTTGAAGTATCCTTTAAATTGATATAAGTTGCTATAAAAGATACATACATCTGTGTATGTACATACAATGTAGCTTCAAATTTATTTTAATCCATTAAAAAAATATTTATAATTTAATGAGAAAATGGTACCCAAAGTATATTATTCATGTATATATTACATGATTTTTATTATTAAAGAAATTAGCAAATTATAAGGAGGCTACTGTAATTATATTTCCTCACCATATTTGTTTGAATATCATTTGTTGTTAAATCTCAGGTAATGATGCTCAAATAATTTCCTGTGCCAATGAAATTTAGTAAAAAAAAAAAATATTGTAATTATATATATAATACATATTTTGTTTTTAAAACGCACATTGATATGTTTTATAATTTTTCATGTTTAGACATTATTAGAATTGACTCTAGGGGCTCATGATGAAATGTGTTTTGGCGAAAAAAAAAAAGAAGATAAATATAACGCACATTAACACTGATAGTGATCTCATGCCTTAATGAAATGCTGTTACCCTTAAAATGGGATAGAGGCCTTTTGGAAATCATAATCAGTGTTAATCTACAGATTAAAAAATTTAATGTATATTTCTTACTGCATTATATTATTATAATTGTTTAAGATTGTAAATTATGTGATTATTGTTACCAGCTCGTATCATATCTTGTAAATAATTTGCTTATTGATTAAATAAATAATTACTGACCATTTGAATGCCTGATAATGCTACCAAATTAACACTGGTATTGTTATATATATATATATATAAATATGTATATGTGCGCATGGTGTATATTTCGTGTGACAGGTTTTGAATTTTTTATACTTTTGTTGTAACTTTTTTTTTCGTTTATCCAATCGTCAAGTATAGAGTTTTTCTCTAAAAAAAGTAAATTCTTTTTTGAGTGTTAATGCAATATTAACATATGTTCCAAGTGTATATAATACAGTATATAAATACAAATAAGGAAAAACTGAATTTATATTTTTTTATTAATATCTTATTGGAGAATCCATTTAGAAAAGAAAAAAATAATTCAACATTTAAAAGTATATAAATTTTAAATATGTTTCGTGTAAGTACAATATTAACGATATGGTTGGTTTGTGGATGTTTGTGCTCTTTTTTGACAAAATGGTTGTGGTGAATAGTTTATGAGTATGGTTTTTGAAGTTAAGACTAAATGGGAATTGAATTATCATACATTTTTATTTTATTTTTTTTTTTTTTAATTTACTTTGTGAACAGGGATCGATTGTTATGTGAAATAAATCATGATGTAATATTATGGTTTTCTAATTTATATCCGATAAGATAGTTTTAAAAAAATTGTGATGCAATTTTTTTTTTTGGAAAGTTTAACAAAACAATTAAGAGGGATGATTAGTTGATAACTTCTAATGATAGAAAAACATATTTCTTATATTTAATTTTTAATAGTAAAAGTATTTATGTTATGTTTGTTTTTCCCAACAGAAATTATTATAAATTGATTGACATCTTTTCATTTTACATGGATTTTATTTTACTGAAAAAATAAATAAACGGCCTTTGGCTCAGAGATTAGGATTAATTCTTGACCAAGCATAAACTACTCTACTAGAAGTAACAGATCTTGGGATAAAGTGAGCTTTGAGATAAAATTAACCAGAACTATTTTGCTCTAAGGTTAAATAGGGTCTGTTAACACATTCTTTTAAAGCAGCATACTAGTCATGTTTTCTTGTAAGTAGGGTTAGGTTTGGATTCAATCCAATACTCCATCAGTCTTTGATCCAACAGCTGATCTTAAATGTATTATTATCAGAACTGCTGGAAAGTACCATTCTAGTCTAACATGTCCCTTGATTTATTCAACTAAAATTTATAGTCTACTTATTTTTAAATTGAAAGTTGATTTGTCCATGTCTACTTTATACTTTCAATTATACCAAAACTACTCCCATGATTATAAATATAACTAATTTTATATCAACTCCTACTCATCCTCTATTTTCAAAAATTATTTGAAATTGAAAAGTTCCAATTCTTCCTCTGAAACAGTTCTGTTAAGAATATACTTCATAAACTCTTTCACTCCAGTTATGGTTGCTACCAAAATGAGTAACCGACTATTTCAAATTTATCAAACAAAGCTTGGCTTTGATGTTTGTTCTAAGTAACTTATTTATACCTCTTTAACATAATATTTTTGTATTTTATTATACCTATAAATATATACATATACGTCAATTTACATATATTAGCTTACGATAACAGCTGCTTATAAAAAAATATCTTTAGAAATATTAACCATTTGACCTAGAATAAGAATATTGAGAGAAAAAGAAAGACAATAATCTGAATAATAATTATTCCTAGATTATTATTATCCAAGCATCTAATTTGATTAGAAGAGTTTTTATAATAATTAAATTAAACTAAATTACATTCAGGCTTGGTGACTGCGGTGGGCACATCTGATACTTGATATTGAATTAATAGTTTCTCCAATCTCAGGGGCAATATAAGTACAGTTGGCTCTGCTTATAATAATTGGGGTGATCCCTTTTATATATATATATATATATATATATATATATATATATATATATATATATATATATATATATATATATATATATATATATATATAATATATATAATATATATATATATAAAACATTGGTAACAAACAAATATAATATATATAAAACATTGGTTACAGAAAAGTTCTTCCTAGCCTAAGAACTTCAAGAAGGATAAATTTAAGGAATTTTTAATTAATTGATACCCAAACTCCAATTATACCCAAAATACATAATTTGTTCTTAAGTTCTTAAGACATGAATCAAAATAAATCAAGTGAATAAAAAGTACCTAAGTGAGGATGTTTTTTAGGATCCTCTTAGCAAAGCCAACTGTATTAGAGTTTTTTGAGGATTTTCAACTAATTGAAAATAATTAATATTTCACTACAAGTAATTCAATAAAAATGAAATTAAATGAGTAATTTCTATTTTTTATTTTTAAAATATCATCATCATTATCAATAATTTCTGTTATCCCTTGGTATAGTTGGCCAATCTGTGCCTTTGAACCATGGAAACACTGGTCCGGATTCGTGGAATGCTTATATAATATATTTGTAGAGGGGCTTAAATCTTCTGAATGGGATTTCTCATGTGGTTTGAAGTTAAATGGGTAACTGCTTTGATAAAGATGGTGTGTTTAATCAGTGGATACTTATAATTAGAATATCAACATGGCAGCAACCGATTCGATACCTCGAACCCCTTTCAGAAATTTTTGTTTTAAATATTATATTATTGTAACATTTTAATTAAACATATTGTTCTTATTGGCAAACAATTTATAAAAGGTTACCATTTACCTAAATGAAGTACCCCTGAAATGTTTTATCTGGCAGCAACTATATTGTTATTTTCAATCTATTTTTGAATTGGTTTGAGATGTCATTCACGACCAGGCCATCTACAGAAAACCATTCAAATCATGATTTATTCCACTTAATTTAGTATAGTGATAAGGCAACTTCATAATATAATGATTAATAATTGTTTGTATATTGTTATTGATGTGCAGACATATCTCTAATACTAACCGATTCGAAATCTAGAAATGAAAAAAAAAATATTAATGTGCAGCAAGGGCCTGAATTGACTTGCTTCTTCTTATTGATTTGCTTGAACGATCAGCAATTCATAGGAGCAAATTATTTCCTGCAAGCTTTTATTCTATAGATATTAAAAACGTTTCATAACCCGATACTATTATCTCTCTCTTCTATCAATTTCAACTTTCTAATTCTTCGTTTTATAAATGTTAAAATGTTTTTTGAATATTTCCCCCTCCCTTCCCCAGTACCACTAAGCTTTTTTATTCTTCTTTTTTTCAAACTTCAAACTCTACTTTTGTAAGATACTTAAAATCATAAGACAGAAAACATGATATCTTCATACTAACAGATAAAGAATGAATATTTTGCATATCAAATGTCATGAATGTTGTGTAAAGATAATATAAATTTAATTTTATTATACATTGCTTATATAATTGTGGATTCTAATGAAAATTGTGATAAGGTATGTCGGTTATGTCGTTAACCTATTAGATGTGTTCATTGTTATACAATATTGTGTATATAAGTTACATGTCCATTTTGAAGTGTATTTCCAATCGTGTACTTTTTAAGAAAAAAATTTTTGCTGACAATATGTTACGTGTTGCAAGAGATCTATAATATTCATATGTGTGTATTTAAGTTTCCTCAAATGTTACTAAGATATTTTATTTAAAATATAGACCCTATACAAGATCTAAATTCCTATTGTTATTAATACACAATACTCTCAATTTTAATGGCACGTCTTCATAATTTAATAAATATCTTATTTTTTTTGGTAGTTTGGAAATAATTTAATATTGACTAATTAAATAAGTGTTTAAAATAACTCATTTTGATTGTATCGTGCAAATAGTAACAATTTTTAAAACTATTTTGATGTGCACAAGTTGGCAGTTTGCAAGGTATATTACTGTTTTTTAATAGTTCTAAGTGTTTAACACCTTTCAAACTGATGTAATATTGTTCAAAATATAGTTAAATATTAATGTAAGTACAAAAATACATTTCCAATTTCATTTGTTGAAAAAGAAAAAAAAAATTTTCCATCCATTTTAAAATGACTAGCAAGAATATGTTCGAAAACATTTCTAAATTATTCAGCTTATAATTTCTTATGTGAAAATGAAAGTATAATTATAAGCAAAACTTTTTACAAATTTGGTTCAATTTATAATTATTTGATGAATGATTTTTATATTTTCTATATTACTCTAAACTAAGTCTTGCAGTGTCTTAAAATCTTTTGGAAAATACTTATCCTTAATATAGTTGAAAATTCCAATGTAAAATTGTGTGGGATTGCAATGTAAAAATGTAAAATAAATTTTCATTCAATGAAATGAAAATATTAAATTATAGATTTTTTTATTTATTTATTTTATATTCTTTTTTAGATTAAATTTTGATTTATGTAAAATTCCTGTATACAAAACACTGTAAAGTAACAGCACAAAATATGATCTTTCATCAGTCTATTTTTAATAATACAACTTATTATTGATTAATAACGTACATTATGTAATTACTACATTTTCATATTAAATACAACAAGGCTGTACGCCTTCATTTGTAAGAAAAAAAAAATTCTTCCAGGTTATAATCGTAAAATTTTACTAAACATGCATTTAGGACATGCATATTACAAGATGAATTTTTATGTATAACTTTATATTAAATATTGTAAATGCTTTTTATTACTGAGTAACAGACAAGCTTTTATTTTTTCTATCATGTGTAAGTCAGATAAAGACATTGTAAATTCAATCGATGAGTCTTGTACATTAATGGAATATATGCATGTGTTTTTCAAAGATAAAATAAAATTAAAAAATGACAACATTAAAATAATCTATTTTGTTTTTATTGTTACAATTATTTCTGTAAGAATCATTTTCCTTCTCATACTTTCCTCATTATAATTTTTTTTAGGGATGTAAAAAAGAATTGGTAGTGAGATCAACTGGAGCTTAAGATAATAATAATAAGGCTTAGTAAATGCTAATTGGTTAAGATATATAAGAGGATATCTCTACCCTCAAAACTCATTTTATTTACAGGAGCCTCTTTCCAATTATGGTGCAAGCATTTATGTACGAAAATTTAGTCATTTCAGGCTCGTTTGAAATAACTGGTATTTTAGATTTTCAAAACCATGAGGGATGAGTTAAAAAAGGTGTTGCTGTATGATGTGATACCACGAACCTAAGAACATTCTTAGATCGCTTACTGAATATATTGTAATTTTATAATATTAGAATATTCATATTTAGTTATTTTATACAAATTATTTATCACTTGAAGATTTCTACTTGTCTTCTACCACGTCAGGGTCACCAATGTAATTGAGCGTAATGTACTAATTACTTTGGAATATTTAATTAATACTATTAATTTAATTGGTAATTAATACTGAGTCAGATACAGGGTACTATGAATGAGGTAGAAATATGTCAGACACCTCAACAAAGAACAAAGAAAAGTAACACTAAAGGTAACAATAAAAAGATTAGGTTTTCCGCAGCCTTGATATCAAAATAAAATTTACACGTTTGTAGAATAACAGAACATTATATAATTAAAATAAATAATTCGCAAAAAATCTATAAAATAACTAAATGCAAATATTATATAATCACAATTTATTTAGTAATCAATCTAAGAATGTTCCTAGGTCCGTGTTATCAGTCACAGAGCCACAAAGGTTTAATTAAAAGCAAACATACAGAATGAAAACTCGTGCGAAGGCCTGTGAGATTATGAAGGTTTCAAGAGAGAATATTTGTTGAATTGAGGAGATTAAGATGTGGTATACCAAATGTACCAATTACACACTCTCTTTTTATTAAAAGTCAATTTAGAACTATTTTGTTTCCTAATTTAATAAAAATGTTTTAGTAAATGCCTAATTTCAAAATCAGAATTAGTTCATGAAATAAAAATATACCAAATACTGTAACACTATTTATTTTACATTATTTAAAACCATACTGTAAAAAACTACATCTATGTATGCTAAGAAGTATTAAAACCAGTTTTCACTGTGCCAAATTGACATTTGCAAGGAATACTCAGTTGTATGGAGACAATGATGTAAGACACAGTAATACTCAATACCTTAAAAAAAAAGTCGTATTAATTCTTTTTTACATTGCAGACATAATAGATAATATTTTTGATACTTCACATAAATGCAACTAATTTAATACACAAAACATAAATATGTTTGACAACTTCACCATATATTAAAAGCCCAAATTTCCAGACAGACATAAATTAAGAAATACTCAGACTCTACTAAAAGAGAAAAGCTGAATTCAGTCGACTGCCAAGTCTTCTCTGAATTTCTGCATTTATAATCATTATCGAAATTGATTTGGGAGCCAAGGTAAACAAACTCTCCAATCCTCTCAAAGATATTATTTCCAATCACTACATGAAGTCTTGGATAGCTCCATGAGTTCTCACAAGCATATTTTTGGGAAAAACTTCAGTGATTCGCACGAAGTCAGCAAACACAATATAAGTACTCGCCATTTATTTATTTATTTCCAGGAAACTATGATAGCACCATAAAAGTGGAACTATACAAGGTTCTGGTTCAAATGGGAATACCAGCCAAACTTATACACCTGATAAAGATCACCATGAAAGAAGTACAGTGCATCCTCCAAATTGAAGGTGATACAAGTGAAAATTGTCTCTAGTTTTTTGATGATTCTAAGGCAAGGTGGACTGCTTGCATGCTTACTTCTAAACTTGGTCCTGTAGTAAACAATATATAGCTTATAGCATTAACACATAGGCAAAATTGAATCAAAGGCTTCAGGACAATTAATGAATCAATATCATTAGGACATATTGTTTATAATGAAGAGGATACCAGAGTATTCAATGGAATAGGGGGAGGGAGGGGAAGAAAATACCT